TGCATCGATATCCAAAAGCATATTTTTTTGTGGAATTGTTATGGTTAGGATAGGCCTACCAAACTCTTTTATCTTACCAGTGAGCAGTAGATTTAGTGGTACTTAAAATATATATCGACCATCACTTTTAGGGATACCTAGCTAAGACAGGGAGTGCAGAGGTAAAATATACATTCTGTGTCCTGAAGGAGCTCTCATACAAAGGAGGTGTAGATATACAATGACTACTAGTTACGGTAAATGCTGGAAAGAGGTATACAGAGGGTGCTTAGGAACATAGGAAAGGCACCCAACTCCTTCAGGGTGGATGGGTCAGAAAAGGTTTTTCAGAAGAGGTAATAGATGGACTGAGTTTTAAAGGAGAAATAGGAATTACCCAAACAGAATGAGGGGAAGTTTATTTCAGACAATGAATAACTTGTACAAATGCTATTGTAATAATATAAGCTGCAGGTTATTAAGGTCAGAACTAAAGTAATTGTGGAGATGAAATTGAGGAGACAGGTTTTTGAGACCCTAATAGAGTAAATAGGATGTGTTTATAAGATTTGGGTCGTGTCATATATTACTATGTATTACTTTACTCACTATGTTGCAGGCACAATGGCCTTTTAGTTCCTCCGTACACCAAGCTCATTTCTAACTTGGGGTCTTTGTAGTGGTTATTCCTGCTGCCTAGAATGTACATCCTTTTCCCCCAACCCCAAGATCTTTGAGTGGCTGGCTCCTCTTTATTCTGGTCCCAGCTCATCTTTCATTACTACAGGGGCCTTTCTTGACCACTCTTATCTTATAGTAACCTCTCTAGCCTCTCCTTCACATTCATCTTATGACTCTATCTTATTTTATTCATAACACTTATCATAATACATTCACTGTTTGTTTAGACTAGACATGAGAGTATTGTTCTCAGGGAATAGAGGTGCTCAAGAAAAATATTTGAGTGAATGAATGGGTAGTGTTATGGAACTGAGTTGAGAAAATGGATTATACAAACGGCTTTTTGGCAAATTGGTTATACAAATGGCTTTTTGGGTAAAAGTGCCTCCTTTAAGTAAAAAATGCTTCTTATAGAAACACAGCTTCAGCTAAAGCTGTTGTCAAAGTCAGCTTGGGGAAGTTAATCAGAAGAAGGAATATATATGAAATGTTTAGCCTCTTAAAACTTGCAATCAAAATTATAAAATGTCCAAACTAAACAACTTTCTAACCTGGATGCCTTAAAAAATGAAGGACTTTTACTTAAATTATATTTAAAATAGTGGAATAAAATTATATTACCTCTAGACTTTATTTTAACATCAAAAAGGCTAACCTTTCACTTAAAAAAAGAAAATATATTCTTCACTTCCATAATTCACATATTACCCTAGAAATAATCTAGATCCCTTGAACATTTAATGTGATTCCAAATGCCAACAAAGACTTTGAATTATATAATTCCACTGTTTAGTGTTAAAATATTTAACTTTATTTTACTTATGACTAATCCTATATAATAAAGAGGTAATATGCAAATTGACCATCACACCCTCGCACAACATGGCTGCCCCCATATGGTCACAAGATGGCCGGCAGGGGAGGGCAGTTAGGGGCGACCAGGCCAGCAGAGGAGGGCAGTTAGGGGTGACTGGGCCAGCAGGGGAGGGCAATTGGGGGCTACCAGGCCTGCAGGGGAGGGCAGTTGTGGGGGACCAGGCCTACAGGGGAGGGCAGTTGGGGGCGATCAGGCCAGCAGGGGAGCAGTTAGGCATCAATCAGGCTGGCAGGGCAGTGGTTAGGGGGTGATCAGGCTGGCAGGCAGAAGCGGTTAGGGGCAATCAGGCAGGCAGGCAGGCAGGTGAGTGGTTGGGAGCCAGCAGTCCTGGATGAGAGAGAAACATCGATCTGCCAGTTTAGGCCCGATCCCCCTAAACCGGCAGTTGGACACCAGGGTACATGCCCTTGACCGGAATCGAACCCGGGACCCTTGAGGGACACCCCCCCCCTCCCATGCATGAATTTTGTGCACTGGGCCTCTAGTTTCTTATAAAATGTTTACTTTATGAATATTTACTCTTCGGGTTTTGGGCATTAAAATGAAAAAAATAAAACCTCAGGCATTCATAGGATAGGTGATTTCTGTCTTGCAAACCTTAGATGATTTTTTAAAAACAGCACATAAAACAAGAAAAAGAAAAATATATACATATATGCATTTATTGCTGGATTGGGGAAACTTATTATTATGAAAAAGAATGTTCCCCTAGAAAAAAAAGAAGAAGAATGTTCCCTTGGTATACCTTTCAAGCTACTTCTCATCCCTGTTTTTTTTATTTTATATTTTTTTCTCCTAAATTTAGTAAAGGAGTTCAGCCAGTTTACAAAGCCATTGAACACTTAGTTGCCTTTTGAGAGTAAACTTAATCTAATTGCTATGGTGTTATTTGATACCTTGTTAATAGTTTAACTGCCTAGTAACTAACTGGTCATCTACCTGGCAATCCCTACCCAATATCCCCAAGAAAAATGTATTTTTTTTACGTTTAACTCAGCATCTCCCTATTCATGATTCTTATATTCATAATACTTATTTTTTTAAGTTATCTATATGTAAAAACACACTTATCAGATTATTCTTGAAATATTATGTATGCAATAACTTGCCCAGGTTTTCCACTGTATAAAAGTTTAAATTGTTGGACTCTTCACCCTTCTTCATAGTATTTTATATTCACTTGTATGCTGCATTTCAAAATACAGAAGAGAGAAGATATATTCTATATGTGATAAAAAGTGGAAGAAAATTAAATATTCTTTCCTGACCACAGTTGTCATGATCACATATGCTAAGATATTGAAATGATAGATAAAGGGGTGTAGTTCTGTTCAGTACAAAATTTTAAGCTCTGGTTACTGTCATTTAGCTGAAAAAAATAAGATCACCCAAATTAGGTTAATGGTGAAAAATCTAAATGATAGTAAGCTACACAGTGGTATGGGTAACATATATGTCTATTAATTCATTCATTTACCTGTGAGGCACTATTTTGGATACAGCAAGGAACAAAACAGGCAAAACATCTTGCCCTCATGGAGCTTACATTTTTCATGCAGTGAACAGTTAGCAAAGTAAATAATTTAGTCTTAGCAATGAGTACTGTGAAAAAAATAATAAAGCAAGGAAGGATAGCAGGGACAGGGGGGTACAGGTTTAAATTTAAAAAATATGTACAAATGCATATGCACGATACATTTATATAGTTTAAATGGGTAAAATGCTTAATTATAAAAAACAATTGAGATATTTGACCTAATATTTATATTTACTTATAAATTACACACCTGTACTACTGCTATTCTTAAGTAAATGTTAGTGGATTTTATTTATTGTTTTAGATAAAAATAAATATAATTTAGAAAGTTTATTTTTTCCCCTCCACATATCACAAGAAGAGAACCTTTGATAGTGAGTTATAATGATTATTGGATAATGACAATAACATTAGTTAAATTCTTACTAAGGGCGTAGTGTGTGCCAGGCATTGATCCCAATGCTTTACATATACTAATTAATTCAGTAATTGTCTGAGGATACTTATCACTCTGTCTCTATTTTATAAATGCAGAAGCTAGGCACAGAGAAGGTAAGTATCCTGTCCAAGATCATACAGAAAGTAAACCAGAGTTGAGATAAAAAATGCAGGCACATTAGTTCCAGAATCAGCTCTTATAACTATTGCATATTATTACATACTGCACGAGATGTGAAGAGGAAGCAGATAGACATACTGGCCATAGAGTAAGCATTAAGAAACTACCTAGAGATTATAAATTAAAAGATTTAAGATAATCATATACAGAACATTTTTAATCATCTATATAATCCTATATAATAAAAGGCTAATATGCAAATTGTCCCCTTGGGAGTGCGACTGACGGGGAGTTCGACCACTTGCTATGACGTGTGCTGACCACCAGGGGGCGGTGCGGAACAAAGGAAGGCCCCGGTCGGCAACCAGCAGCTGGGGAAGGAAGGACCCAGCCAGAAGCCGGAAGGTCCTGATTGGTCCTGAACGCCAGCCAGGCCTAGGGACCTTCCTCATGCATGAATATCGTGCACTGGCCCTCTAGTGTACTATAAGTAACTTCCCCACCAACAAAAAACAAAACAAAACACATTCAGCAGAGCAAGTGCTAATTTCCTTACAATGCAAAGACCTCTACAAACCAATTAGAAAAGGATTACTAATACCCTTCCCAAGACATGAGCAAAAAACATGAATAGGCAAGTCAAAGATAAAGAAATGCACACAGATGAAAATATGAAAAGACAGTTTTTTCCTGTTTTGCATATTTAGATGTGCAGTTTCTTAAAGTGGGTGTAAAAAAGTCATTAAATATAATTAGTAGGGAGACAGAGTTTTAGGGCTGATTAGAAGTGGTGAGCTGGCAGTTGAATGATGTGCATTGGAGCTGTGGTTTGAGAGCAAACCAGCCAAGGTTCCAGGAGAGAATTAAGCCCTGCAGAAATGATTTGAGTGACTGTTTTCTCAGCTTCCTCAAGGGTGATTTGTAGCTACTACACTCTTGATGCATCAATGGTAAGTTAATTAATTATGTATCATGGATGCCTTAGGGCATTAACATTCTCTCTTGAAAGGCCTGGCTATTAGGATTGGAAATAATGGAAGTCCATTCAAGAGACCTAGCAGAAACCCAGAGAAAAAATTTTGACAACTATACTATAAAAAGATAATGGAAAATATTTTATGGGCCAAAAGGAGGTTTGAGAGTCAAATGTGATCAGTGTTCATTCTTACTGTAGGTTACTTTTCAGGAATCCACCTGGGTCTTACTTAGTACAATTAAAAATCCACATGCAAATATTCAATTAACTGATGCATAAAAATGTTGGAATTTAAGATTTGATTATTTTACTAAGTAAACATTTATGATATAGCAACATAATTAGACTCTACCATGCTATTTATAATCCTAACTATGTATTTCATTTCCAGGGAGCCTTTTATTATTTTATCAGGAGGTTTGTCATATGATACTGTAGGAAGAAGACCTTGCTTAACAGTTATGCATGGGAAAAGTACTGCAGTGCTAGAAATGGACTATTCAATTGTTGATTTCCTAACACTGTGTGAAACACCATACGCAAATGGTAAGTTTTGCAACTTTAAAGCTCATTCTCTACATTCAGAACAAAGACCTAAGTATTATCTTATTAGTTTCTTTATTGTGTTCATTCTTCTGGGAAAAGATGCTGCCTTCATAACTTTGAAAATTTTATTTCAGAAGTTAATTCTGTTTAATAAGCTTTATCTGTTTAGTATTACATATTATTAGTAAGTGTCTTTATAGAATAAACAAAACTATACACATTAAGAAACATTATGGAACAGCAAATTGATCTCTCTTTCTCCAAAATAAATAAATAAATAATTTTTTAAAAAGAAACATTTTAATAATCTATAAAATACTATTGTACAAGCTTCTCCAGAAAAACACAAACCATCAGAAGCAGATATGAATACAGATAGAGAGAATTTAAGGAATTGGTTCATTCATTTGTGTAATCTGATAAGTGTAAAATTTATAGAGCAGGCCTGCAGCCTGAAAATTCAGGACAAAGTTGATGTTACAATCTTGAGTCCGAATTCTTAAGGAAGAATTACTGTCTTGAGGCAGAATTGCTTTTTTACCCAGAAAACCTGTCTTTGTTCTTCAGTTCTTTAACTGATAGGATGTGGCCCACCCACATTATGTAAGATAATCTGCTTTGCTCAGAGTCTACTGATTTAATTTTAATCACATCTAAAAAAATACCTTCATAGCAACATCAGACTGATGTTTGACCAAACAATTGAGCACCACATGAAGACATACCTATCTATCTATATAAGAGCCTAAGCGACTGTCCAACCGGTAGCTGTGATGCGTAATGACCACCAGGGGGCATACGCTCAATGCAGAGGCATGGAAACGTGGAACAGACTGATGATACTCAGAGGGAAGAGAGGTGGGAGGAGAGCAGGAAGAGATTAACCAAAGATCTTATATGCATACTAGAGGCTCAGTGCACAGATTTGTGCACCGGCGGGGTCCCTCGGCCTGGCCTGCAGGGATCAGGCCGAAACTGGCAGTCTTACATCCCTCGAGGGGTCTCAGATTGTGAGAGGGCACAGGCCAGGCTTAGGGACCCCACCAGTGCACGAATCCGTGCACTGGGCCTCTAGTCTATAATAATAATCTATAATAATAAAAGCCTAATATGCTAATTAGACCGGACAGCAGAATGACCTTCTGGATGAAGCCAGGGCTGCGAGGGCCAAGGCAAGCCACCGCAGCTTCGAGGGCCGAGGCAAGCCGCTCTGGCTGCGAGGGCCGAGCCCCTTGCATGAATTTCGGGCATCGGGCCTCTAGTATATATGTAAAAGCCTAAGCGACCATTGCGACCAAATGACTGTACTGTGACATGCACTGACCACCTGGGGGCAGATGCTCAATACAGGAGCTGCCTCCTGGTGGTCAGTGCGCTCCCACGGCCAGCCAACCTCCCGCGGTCCCTTGTGCCAGCTGGCAAACCTCCCACGGTCCCTCCCCCTGTCCGGCAGGCCCCGTCCGGCAGCTGGCAGGCCCCGGCTGGCCTGGCTCCGATCAGGACTGGGCAAGATGGCCCTGATCACTGGCCAGGCCTAGGGACCCCACCCATGCACGAATTTCGTGCATCAAGCCTCTAGTTGACAAATAAAATTAACCATCACAACTTGTATAAATTTCAATAGGAATTTAAATCTGGATATTTTTTACTATATGTGAAGCTAATTGAGATGTAAAGATGTGATGCATTTTGCAGTCAGCAGGCACAATAAAATATTTAAGTTAAGGATTATAATACTAGAGGCCCAGTGCACAAAAATTTGTGCACTTGGGGGCGTCCTTCAGCCCGGCCTGTGCCCTCTCGCAGTCTGGGACCCCTTGGGGGATGACCACCTGCTCATCCCGGGGGATTGGGCCTAAGCTAGCAGTCAGACATCCCTCTGGCAGCCCAGGAGCCCTCGAGGAATGTCCACTTGCCAGCAGGGAGCAGGCCTAAGCTGCAGTCGGACATCATTAGCGCTGCTGAGGAGGCGGGAGAGGCTCCTGCCACCACTGATGTACTGGCAGTCAGCCTGGCTTGTGGCTGAGCAGAGCTCCCCCTGTGGGAGCATACTGACCACCAGGGGGCAGCTCCTGCATTGAGCGTCTGCCCCCTGGTGGTCAGTGTGTGTCATAGTGACGAGTCATTCCCAGTCATTCTGCTGTTAGGGTCAGTTTGCATATTACGCTTTTATTATATAGTATTATAATAGCACTCTATTGAGTTCCTAAGATATCCAGTAATGAGAGTTCTTATGGGTATTCAGATTTAAATCTTGAGTTTCTTGGCCATTGTCCTGCCTTGTAATTTGCAATACCATAGAAATTACTGTGAGCTTCTTTGTCTTACCATTACAAACTGAAATAATTTTGTATTGGTTATGATACAGATTTATTTCATTTAGAAAATACTAGCCTTAAACTATATTAAGTACAAGATGAGAATGTTAAATACTTGACAAAATAGAACAAAATAAAATCCAAGCAAAAATACTCATTATGTAATTTGTCGTCGTCTTGCATGTTTACTATTCATGCATTATTTTCCTATTCCAGATTTTCAGGAACCATATGCTGTTGTTGTTCTTCTAGAAAAGGATTTAGTACTTATAGACCTTGCACAAAATGGGTAAGAAATTAAATTTTACGAGCAATTATATTTGTATGTGGTGAAAAAGATTTCTTTTTAGCATGCATTTCTTTGAAATCACATTTATATCCATAAGCTTGACTTCTTCTTAGCACTCCAGATGCACATTTCTAGTTGCATACAAAATTTCTTTAGTATATTGATTATATAGAGTTTTTTTAAGTCAAAATTTGTTGTATTTCTGAAATTTCATATGATTCAATCTAATACTTGTGCCCTGGGGCAACATAAAATCACCACGTCCAAAATTGATCCCATCACACACTTTACTTCCAGATAAGCTCTTGTCGTTTCTCCAGCCATATTCACTCTCTGTTGCAGTGTGTCATGAATGCCATCATCAGATTAATTTTACATGCAGCACCAATTTTTTTACTCTTCTCTTTAAACCATTGTGTCTTTTTAAATTTAAAAACACCTTCTCGGCCTGCTACTATACACAGTTGGAATTCAGGGTACCGTTCCAACCTGATTTTTTACTGTCTTCCTGCAGGTGCCTTATTCCTAGAACTCTGAACTGGGTGTTAAACAAATACCACACGCCCCTGTCCTTCTTAGATAGTTTCCAGCTGTTGAAACACTCGGCTTGTTTCAACATCAAAAATCCATGTAACTTTTAAAGTCAGGCTTACTTTCCTCTTAAATTATTTCCTGTTCTCTCTTTACCAGACATTTCATGTCTGATCTGTGAATTCTCATCATAGCTCCTTTGCAACTTTTTGTGGTTATTTACCTTATTCTGCTTTTTCCAACTTAGATAATACTATGTTTAGTTATGTTCTTTGACTAGAAGAACATTGTACTACTTATGTCTCTTGAGAAATAATCATTAAATATGGTTTTAATTAAGTTTACCCATTCATTATGTCCGTATTTCACAACTGGGTACAGTTTTGTCCCCCAGGAAATACTTGGCAGTCTACATAGACACTTTTATTAAGGGTAGAGGATCCTACTGCCATCTAGTGGATAGGATAGGAATGCTGTTAAACATCCACAATGCACAAGACAGTCTTCCACAATAAAGAATTATCTGATCCAAAATGTGACTAGTATTGATATTGGGAAACCCTGAAGTATAAAAGTGAAGTGTATTATTTCTCTTATTTTAAGGCATCCCTAAATTCATATCAACTTAATTACGTGCTACCTGTAATAATCAATTGTGTGTGTGTGTGTTTTTCTTTTCTGAAAGTAATACTACTATTGTGGAATAAAGGACTTTTAAACATTATTTCTAAATGACAGCCCGAGCCCTGACCTGTTTGGCTCAGTGGATAGAGTGTCGGCCTGCATTCTGAAGGGTCCCAGGTTCGATTCCGGTCAAGGGCATGTACCTTGGTTGCAGGCACATCCCCAGTAGGAGGTGTGCAGGAGGCAGCTGATCGATGTTTCTCTCTCATTGGTGTTTCTCTCTCATCGATGTTTCTAACTCTCTATCACCCTCCCTTCCTCTCTGTAAATGACAGCCCTAGAATAGCTTTTTCTTAATATGTTTTTATTTTTTTTAGTTAGGTAAGTTTTAAAACACATGCTCTATACTGATATATATTTGTTAAAGAATACATTGTGCAAGTAACCTGTGAATAGGCATTTTATTGAGCAAATGTATTAGTTAAGTGTGTAGTGATAAGAGAATTATTAAGGATTATATAGTGTGTTTATAAAGATAAAAGTTGCCTGTTAATTTTTAAATGCATCTGTTGGTTTGTTTGAGTTTTGTCTTCTGTTTTTTTAGTGTATGGTTGAGGAAGGAGTGATGACAGTTAGTTTCATTTTGAAGTCTAGAAAGGAATTTTCTGAAATTTTTTTCCTTTAACTTTTTAATTTTTGTCAGTAGTAGACTGATCAATACATTGATATTTGCAGTTGCTCAAAGATAATGGTAGACTGTCTTGTGTATTGTGGATGTTTAACAGCATTCCTATCCTCTACCACTAGATGGCAGTAGGATCCTCTACCCTTAATAAAAGTGTCTATGTAGACTGCCAAGTATTTCCTGGGGGACAAAACTGTCCCCAATTGTGAAATACGGACATAATCTTTAGCACCTCTGGGGGTGCTAAACCCCGAGATCATTCCCAGCAGTGGGGAGGCGAGGCGGGCCGAGGGAGCTCGCTACATGAACAGGGCACCCGTGGTCACATGCCACCTCGCTTTGAACAATAAACACTTCAGAATGGCTCGGGGGGTGGGGGTGGGGGGGGTGGGGGGGTGGATAGCCACTCCCAGAGGTTTCCTGGACTTTTTAGACTTTTAAAAGCCACTCTGAACTTTTTGGACTTACAAAAGCTGGTTTCTGGTTTTCCAGATATTTAAGTAATCATTCTCATTTCTAAGGACTTTAAAATCAGTAACAAAAATTTTTTTTATTTTAGATAGGATTTTACTTTAATTTTATGACTTTTATAGCATTTTTTTGCTCTATTTAATATAATTTTTATATCTAGAAAAAATTAAATATATAAATTATTTAGATTTCCACTAAAACTAGAGAACATTTCTAAATTAAATATTGCACTGGAAATTACATTGATGGAGAAAAAAGGAGAATTGAAAATTTGTATTAGCTCTACTGATGTAAGAATGAAGCATGTCTTCATTGAGAACCTATGGCTTAATAGTTAAGAGCACTTTAAATTCTGCCGCTTCTTGCTAGTTGGCTTGCCTTTGGCACATTACTCTTCCTAAGTCTTTGTTCTTCAGTCAAATCAGTTTGGTGCAAGAATAAATAAGATAAATGTATATAAATCACTTAGTCCAGTGTGTGTATATGTGTGGTATGTAGTACCAACTGTAGCTTTTCTATTTACCATTCTCTTTGAGCAACTGTCATTATAAAAGATTTTTTTACATATATGCATATAGTAAATCTGTTAAATCTACTAAATGTGGTTAATTTCTAAATTCTATAGACTAACCATCCTATCCTAATAGATAAAATATAAATTCAGGTAACATGTTATGCGGACCTTCATAGGATGTTAACTTTAATCAAACTAAAATTATTTTCCATTCCAAAGCTGTAAATATTTGTTTTTCATTGTCATATTCATCATAAGTAATAATTTATTAAATTAATAAATATTTTTCTTTTCCTGTTGTTAAAGATATCCTATATTTGAAAATCCCTACCCTTTGAGTATACATGAATCCCCTGTTACATGTTGTGAATATTTTGCTGATTGTCCTGTGGACCTTATTCCTGCACTTTATTCTGTTGGAGCTAGACAGAAACGTCAAGGTTACAGCAAAAAGGTACTGAACATGAATTTTAGTGTTTAATGTTACATTAATGCATCAGTATTTTATACTTATCACCTTGAAGTGTTTGGTAACACTGAATCCTTTCCTAGAGAAAATATAAAGAAAATCCTTCTTGGAAACAAAGTATGTTTACTATTGTCATAGATATATATGAAGATGTATGGTATGCTTGGAAGTTGCTTTATATAATAATCTTTTTTTTTCAGGAGTGGCCCATCAATGGAGGTAATTGGGGTTTGGGTGCTCAGAGTTACCCAGAAATAATTATTACAGGGTAAGTAAAAGTCTGTTTCACCAAATAAAACAGTAATAGCTAAATATAATTAAGACTAAATGAGCATGACTAAAAGAGCTTTCCTTTATATTGTAACATAGTAAGAAATAAGTTATTGTCTATAACCTGACAATTTATCCTAAATTTTATCTTTTTTCTCATATTGGTAACTACCTTTAAAATAACAATATATTTCAAAGAAAGTAAAACTTTAATTTTTTTCCCATCACATTCTTAACTCATTTGCTTTTCATAGGCATGCTGATGGGTCCATTAAGTTCTGGGATGCTTCTGCAAGTAAGTATTTTGAATATTATTGATAAATATTATTTTAATATTATATGTTATACAGTCTTTGCTTGTATACAACCTGTATTGTAGTAATTACATAACCAACGTTTAATTTGAAATTTGAAGACTATAAATTTAATGCCTATTTATTAAGTATTTGAATGTAGGATTTTTAATAGACTGAAGATATTCTAGAGGATATTAATTAGCACTTCTTAACAGAAGTACTCACATTCTTTCTTCAACATTTCTTTAAACCATCTCTTCCTAACTCAGAGATAGGAGAAGCATGCATATGTTTTAAATCAGGAGAAATTTGTAGAATAATTTTAATGCCTGATCCTGAACTTATGCCACAAAATTTGCATTGTCTTTTTGAGATATTTATGGTGGTTATATAATGGCAAAAAAGGAAACGATGCTTTGAATGGCTGATGTTTATAAAATATACATAGCAAGAACTCATAATCCAATTAACTCCAGATATATTATGCTTCATTTTATAGTAACATTAGATTATATTTATCTTTTGTAGAGAAAATATTATAAAATCATTTTAGGAAGCAAAATGTTCTTTATTGTTTTTATTCATGTTTTACAAAATCCTTTTGTTACTCATTTTTTTTCAGGTTATCTAAATTCATCATGATGTTGATTTTTTATTCAATGAATACAATGAGTACACTTTTTTTGTATGTCAATGAGTACAGTGAATGCATTATCTAAACGTATAACAGAGAAATATAGACCTGGAATAAAAATATGGTTCAAATAAATATATACTATTTCCTTACATAGTATAACTGAGTAAATATTACCTTATATTTGTTCTTTTTGTATTAAATTATCTAACATATTATCTTTTATCTAGTAACTCTACAAGTATTATATAAACTAAAGACAGCTAAAGTATTTGAAAAGTCAAGAAATAAAGATGACAAGCCAAGCACAGACATTGTAGATGAAGATCCGTATGCCATTCAGATCATCTCCTGGTGTCCCGAAAGTAGAATGCTATGCATAGCCGGAGTTTCAGCTCATGTCATTATTTATAGATTCAGCAAACAAGAAGTTATTATAGAAGTCATTCCGGTAATGCTCTCAGAGTTATTTTCATTGTCAGATGTCTGATGTTTTAAAATTTTTGAATTATTTAGAAGATTATTTACAGTCCACTTTGTCTAGAATTTTTAAAAACACCTCACTGTTTATATTGCCATCTTCCTTTTCTTTTGAAAAGTAGTATATTTTTATGCATATCTTCTTACTGAACATTTAAATCCTTAAATACATTATATGTTTCACTTGAAGAAAGCTAATCTTTGTATGAGTATACTCTAATTTGGTATTAACATATTGCCATAAATTCTAAAATCATAATGCATGTGTATGTGTGTATGTGTATACTTGCATACATACACACCATTTTTAAGAAGCTGAGTTAGAAACAACACTTTTTTTTGGCTAAATCCTTCTTTTTAGAAATCTTGCTAATTTTTACTTTTAAAAATGTTCTTTCCACTAAAGTGTATCTGTGTGTATAAACTGTAATAAAATGAACCATATTTATTGGGAGTAAGTAAGCTACCTCACTTTTACAACAGATGCTTGAAGTTCGATTGTTATATGAGATAAATGATGTGGAATCCCCGGAGAGTGAACAGGCACCACCTCTGTCAACACCAGTGGGGGCTGTCAGTCCTCAGCCCATCCCACCTCAGTCTCATCCTTCCACCAGTAGCAGTTCCTCTGATGGCCTTCGAGACAATGTCCCTTGTTTAAAGTAAGTTCTAAAGAAATTCAGATGTTTTGGAAATTATCTTTTAATTTAGATAAATTATATGCATTAGCAAAACTATGGTAACATTTTCCTGTGCTGGAGTAAAATGGCATAAGAACAGGTCTATCTGTGCTTTATTTTGATTGATCCAACTTATTTTTCTGTGACTTCAAGAAGAATATGATTGTATAGCATGATTTTATCCTTAAAGTACTAAGATTTTATCTTTTTTTGCCATTTTCTTTTTTTTTAAATCTTTATTGTTGAAAGTATTACATATATGTCCCCTTTTTCCCCTCATTGACCTCTTCTAACCCACCCACCCCAGGCCTTCACCATACTATTGTCTGTGTCCATGGGTTATGCATATATGCATACAAGTTCTTTGATTGATCTCTTTCTACCCACCCATTCTCCTCCGCCTTCCCTCTGAAATTCCACCGTCTATTCCATGCTTCTATGTCTCTGGTCTATTTTGTTCATCAATTTATTTTGTTTATTAGATTCCAGATATGAGTAAAATCATGTGAGACTACTCTTTCATGTGATACTTCCCCTTCTGGAACTCCTATTATGCGAATATTATTACATTTCATGTTGTCCCACAGCTCCTGTAAGCTGTCTTCCTGTTTTTTAGTTGCTTTTTCTTTTGGTTTTCTGGGTGATTTTTTTTTCAACCCTGTCTTCTAATTCACTGATCCGATCTTCAGCTTCCTCTAATCTGTTGTGTTTTCTTTCCGCTGTGTTCTTTATTAGTGCTGTGTCATTCTTTATTTCCGACTATTCTTTTTTCATAGTCGCTGTATCTTTACTCATGCTGTTGACATCTTTGCCATCATTATTCTGAACTCAATGTCTGATAAATTTCTTATCTCCATTTCATTTAGCTCTTCTTCTGGAGAATTCTCTTGTTCTTTCATTTGGGGCTTGTTTTTTTGTCTCCCCATTTTGGCTGCCTGTTTGGGTTGGTCTGGGTATTAGGTAGATCTGCTACTACTCCCAATCTCTAATCCAGGACAATGTCACACTCTGTGACTAGCCCTGAGTACCCTGTTTATAGCTATCAGTATACCATAGCTTGTGGCTCCCTTTTCTGGGACTGGGACCTTTGGAACAGACCAAGATGTGCTCTAGGGTCTGCTTTCCCTAGCCTCAGGCCCCAGATTATATCAGGCAAAGACTCAAAGCCTCTAGAGATCCACCTCTACCTACAGCCCCATTGACCCTCAGTCTTGATTAGCCTCAGGCTATTGGCCACAGGGTGGGTTGAGATATCTTCCAACAGGGTGGGGCAACTCCCTCCCCCAACCCCCAGCAAAAACCATGTGGATAGCAAAGGTTCGCTGGAGAAAGATTTCCTCCACAGTGTGAGGGAATGACTCAGCATAGAAAATCGGGGTGGCTGCCCTCCAATCTCCAACCCCAGGGCCCCCAGTGCTGACTGCTGCTTACACAGCTCCAATTCACCCTGCCCTCCCTCTTTTGGAGCCCAATGTGAGTGGCTGCACACGAAATTCTGTGCATTGGCCCTTTAAGAGGGTGTCTGCATTTCTAGCCATCTCTACCTGGCAGACAGCAACCCTGTTGCTTTTCACAGCCAGATGTTATGTGGGCACCTTTCTCATTTCTAGTGTTCTGGGCTGGGAAGCCCAGCTTGGGGATTAGACCCCAGAGTTCTCAGTGGGAACTTCCCACAGCTGAGATATCTCTCCAAAACTTCAACTGTTGTCTGTGGCAGCCTGGCCAGCCCTTTCGCTCCTCCATCCCTCCTACCAGTCTCTATGCAGTCTCTAGTTTTCACCCTTGGTTATCAGGGTTCTCTCAGCTCGTCTTCAGTTGATTTTTCATGGTGGTTTTTCTGTATTTTAATTGTATTTCCAGTTTGGTCCTGGGAGAGTATCAGTATATCTTTCACTTACACTGCCACCATTTTGGAATCTTAAGATTTTATCTTTAAATAATGCACTAGTATGGTTCTTTCCTCTCTGTCTATAGCTTAATCTTCTAAACCATTTGGATTTATATGTGGATGAAACCTATGTTTAGACAGCTTTCTGCCATTCTGTTTATTTAGTCTTTTGAGATTCAGTTGTTTTGTAATAATTTTCTTGTCTTTTTCTGAATTTTTTTCAGCACCACAATATTATTTAAATGCCTTTATTGTAGCATTTCAGATTTGAATACATTGTTTTAAGTCAGTTTTTAAGTCAGAAATATAACCAAATTGATGTTACAATAACTAATATGGGATTTTTTTTTTAATACAAAGTGTCTTTGTACCTAATTGTGTTTTTTAGAAGAAAACTTTTAAAAACAGCTATTTCGCTTATAATGTTTTATGTTATTACTTAAGTATTTTAATTTTGCTTTTGCAGGGCATTTGTCCAGAGATCATTGTTTTGCAACCGCAAAGCGTCCAAACATTATTTTAACATTTAAAATATATTTGTTTAAATTAAGGAACTTTTTATAAAAGTTCAACCTCTTGTCTTAAAAAGTAAACAAATTGATTTACATGTATCAAAGCATTAAAGTGATAACTTGCATGTAATCATTGTAGACATAAAACATAACAGCTACCCTCTCCCCATTTTGTATTTTTTAAATCTTACATATTCCGTAATTTCTTGATCTGGTTTCTAAATTTTTACCAGTTGTAGATTGTGCAGCAGGTTTGGCTGTCTTATTTTTGTTTAAAAATTTTTTGTTTCTTCTTACTGGGTAAAATAAGAATTTCATGAGTTTTGTATCTTCATCACGTAAGTCTTCGATGTGCCCATTTATGTACTTCTAAAATTATCCCTAATGGCTATTACTGCTCTTGAGAATCTGTTGTGATGCACACATTAAATAAGCCAGAGGGAAGGTGGACACTTTCTTGAACCTCACCTAATTCGTCCAATGAGAAAATCGTACACTCAGACTCTTCAGCTTACACTCATGTCAACTGAAGCTGTTGTTGCTGGAGGTGAAATGCTGCTCATTCTTTATTTCTGTGTGTCATGAGATGGACAGCTGCAGAATAGTGGGTTTTCCCTGGAAAAAAATCAGAACTTCTGCCTCTGCCAGTGCACAGTCCTGAGTGTATTGCCTTGCAGACTTTGCATAGGTAATGACTAACTCAATTATTAGGAGTACCCTTAGTGATTCACCTTTACTCTGAAATTGGGAGAACATACTGACCCTTTTCTTGTCCAGAGTGAGTCTAGCAAATATCACAGTAAAAGTTCCAGTGTCATGGTCTTCTTTACTAGAAGTACCAACTAAATGATTCAAAAAGGTTCTTACCTCGGAGTTTGGTGTCAGGAGGTTCAATATTGAGTAGCCTGCTGCTCTTCTTTTATACACTGTTATTCCAAGATAGAATCCTCAAAATTGTTGAAGCAACCACGCTTTGCATATGTTTTAAAAGAGCAGATATTGGAGAAAGAATTTGGGTCATCAAAAATGTTCTCACTTAGCCCTGGCTGGTATGGCTCAGTTGGTTGGGCATCATCCTGTGCACCGAGAGGTTGCCTGTTCAATTCCTGGTCAGGGGCACGTGCCCTGGTTGCAGGGCTCAATCCCCAGTATGGGGTGTGCAGGGGGCAGCCGATTAATATTTCTCTCTCGTCCTTGTTTCTAGCTCTCTCTCTCTCCCTCTCTCTTCCTCCCTCTCTAAAATCAATAAAAAACATACTCAAATAATCAAAGTATATATTTTTTGGTAGAAAAAGTCACATACAAAAATAAATTGCTCATGTTTTTTCCCCCTTCATTCTTTAATTTATGTTTTGGGCCAGTTTTCATTTAGTTAAACCATATTTTAAGTTTTAAGTCTGCTTTTGTAATTTGCATTTTTCTTCTTAATGCCTGGGCTGCTGCTTCTCCTCATTCATCTCCCCAGCCCTTCCTGTCCTCCTTTCATCCCTCCCTCCCCTTCCGCCCACTTCTCCCTTTCCTCACCGCCCCCCTTGCTACCGCCCCAACTTTATATTTGTAACTTACATATGATTTCTTATTTTCTTTACTTATGTACTTGTTTGATCTCTAACTAGATTAAATGCTTTTAGAGGAGAGAATTCTGATTTTTACTTTTAAAAATATTCTAGTACAAGTTATTTTGTGTAGGTGTTTTTGCATGACTCTCTAATTACATAGGCTAATAAGATGTAAAATGTAACATGTTTTTCCTTATTCCAGAGTTAAAAATTCACCACTTAAGCAGTCTCCAGGTTATCAGGCAGAACTAGTTATTCAGTTGGTGTGGGTGGGTGGAGAGCCACCACAACAAATAACCAGCCTGGCGGTCAACTCTTCCTATGGATTGTAAGTACAATTTATGTGTTTCTCAGTCTCTCCATAGTATTTCATATATTTTTAATAGACATGATGACCTTTATTATCGTATCACTTAAAAAGTTATTGTATAACTACTTTTAGACCAAATTCAGTATTTATTTGGAACATAATTCTGTCCTGAATTAGTTATTCCTGGTATGGTTATATTGCTTCCTGATATCAAATTAAATGACTCATGGACCTGTGAATTATTTGAGATAAAGGTTTAAAGTCACTATATCCTCACCTGGATATACTCTCAGAAATTTCTTATCATTAATCGGTATAGTAGAGGTCTAACAGCATCGACCCAGAAGACTGTGTATTATAACCACAGCTATATAATTTGTTCTATTTCCAAAGTTAACTTGCATAGACTATAAAAGCATAGTAGTAATATTTTAACAAAGTATTCATCTATAGTATAAGTATACTTATTAATTCATGCCTTCAAGTATATAATGTTAATTGTACATACTTTATAATGTTTGTTTTAAAAGCAACATTGTGATATGAGAAACCACATGCTAACTGTTCAGTCCCGGGGCTATTTATCATGTGTAGGTCACTGTCTCCTTCCTTGATGCTAGCCCTACGGACTTATTCCTCCTCCCTCTTCCTCCTTGTAGCTGTTACACCGACTCTATCTCTTGCAGTTGTGCACCCAACTAAGACTGGCTATAGTCTGAAATAGTTTTCTTTCATGTCTTTTATTTGCTGTTCCACAATGTAAGAACACAAACCTTCTCCTTTTTAATATTTTACTGCCCACAACCATAAAGGAAACAAAGAATAAGAAAAAGAAACAATAGGAAGTTTCAAAAGAAGTTGCAATCAGTTGATCATAGGCCTCATTTGACTCACAGTTGTATTTTATTTAGCCTTTTTTGTGTGTATTTTTAAAATTTGAACTTGTTGCCAAGGTTATTTACTCTAAAAATCTATATTTAGAGTTTCCACTGAAAAGAATATGATTATCTGAACCATTTCTCCATTGTTGCTTGGCAAAAGTCATTTGGAACTGAGTTGAAGTTTTTCCTCTTCAGATGGGAGGTAGTAGTACACTATCCAGTTCATCACCGTCCTTACCTGCTTGTTGTACTTACTTATATAGCCCTTCTGTACATTTCAGTTTTCAACTCCTGGCTTAAGGATCTTAAAGGAATAAAATGTATTTATTCATTGTTGATTACCAAAACTTTTTCAAAGATACAGTCCCCTACTTTCTCATTGGAAGGGAGTGTCTTCCCCCTAGAGGCTCAAAAATAGATGTCACATTGCCTAGCATAGGGATTTATGTCTCTGCTCAAGTGCCAAATTATTTTTTGTTAAAATTTTTTAATGATATTTATTTGTAATCATTAATGTCTGCAAAAGATCTACACAGTTCCATGAGAAGCTGTATATCACCTGTATTTTTTTTTTGTCTCTGAAAAGCTTTTGTTTAAAGAGGAATTTTCTCTAAGACTCTTCATGCTATCTTTTTAGCATTATAGACTACATATTCTTGTCATTCTTATTTGTGCTAAAGTATTTGCTCTTTTCCTGTTCCAGGGTTGTTTTTGGCAACTGTAATGGCATTGCGATCGTTGACTACCTCCAGAAGGCAGTACTCCTCAATCTGGGCACTATTGAATTATACGGCTCCAATGATCCTTATAGGAGAGAACCCCGGTCTCCTCGTAAATCTCGACAACCTTCAGGAGGTAAAAGAAAAAAATCCTAAGTTTTAAGATTTCTGTAAATGCTGAGCTTCTTCAGTGAATATAAGTACTTCCATTAAGTAAATAGCTTGTCTGATTTAATCTGTAATACTAAACTGTCAAAAACTAATAAAGGTTTGAGCCTCTTTTTTTGTTTTGTTTTGTATTATTAGATTTTGCTTTTGTTTTTAATATTCTAGGATTTTATTTAACATTGGGAAAGAACCCCAGTATCAAACTTCTTTAGCTAAATTGCAATGACAGGACATTTTGTCTCATTATTATAGACCAAAAGTGTACTTCAAAGTTTTCCCCCTTTTATTGTTTGTCATTGTGAGGCCAACAATTAATTTTTTCAACTGTTTAATTAAAACGAATTATTTCCCGTGTGAAAAAGTACATGCAAAAGTGAATTTCAGATCTTCAGTCTAGTGTTCTCAGATAGCCTTGATTCAGTGCAAACCCAGATCCATTAAGAATTTTCTTTATAGCATTGTTTTGTATTTGCTAGATAGTTTTAATTTTAAGTGTTTTAATACCAGTAACTATGGAACACATAGATAGTTAGCTGTCCGTACCAGTACTACTCACTTTGTTTTTCTTTAACCTCACTGCACACACAGAAAATTGCATTGGATCTTTGTCACATTAAGGCAGTGGTTCTCAATCTGTGGGTCGCGACCCCTTTGTTGGTTGAACGACCCTTTCACAGGGATTGCCTAAGACCATCCTGCATATCAGATATTTACATTACGATTCATAACAGTAGCAACATTACAGTTATGAAGTAGCAACGAAAATAATTTTATGGTTGGGTCACAACATGAGGAACTGTATTTAAAGGGCCAGAAGGTTGAGAACCACTGCATTAAGGGTATGTTAATGAGGTCTCCAGCAGTAACTGGCCTGCAGGCTCCAGTCACCCCAGGAACTGCCCTCCTGTACCAAGGATTGAAGGGAACTCTGTATTGGACAGGTTTAACCCATGTGTAGAATGCCAGTGCACACTGGAAAGCTCTGGTCTACACTCCCCAACTCAGTCCTGCTGAAGTCAAATTCTCTCTGAGATTCATTTCTCAGTTGCTCTCAGGACATTATTGGCTAATGCTACCTGTGTCACAATTCATGAGAGAAGAAAAAAAGGTGATGGCATGTAGACCTTAGTATCTTGCTGAATTTTTCCCCCCATTTTTGTTTGTGTGTGTAATCCTTTTGTCATGTGTTGTCTTCAGCAGAAATTGTCCCAGACATACCATTCTAGTATCTTTGTTTCCTTGTTTCCCTCCTGCTTTTCATTGCTTCACTAAGGTGTGCTGATTGTGACTTTTTGCATGTGCGGCCTTTCTAGCTTTTATTCTGACTCTCTGAAAAAACTCCATTATTCTTTTTTAAGTAAAATCATGGCATATTTACTTTTGTCTATAAAATTGTTGTTTTTTCCCCCATTTATTTTTTGAAAAGCTTATTAAATAATATATCATTACTTAAATTCATCTCATAGTATGTATATGAAAATGGCTATTGAAATGTTTGTATCCCAGTCCAGATTCTTTATGCAGAAACTAATATTTAGTGTTACAAAGTTAGAACATTGTCTTGAGAGAAGTTTTTTGGAGTGATCCAATACTTTTAACAATTTTACCACAAATCCATAGAAAAGTTTTATTACTCCTAGAATTAATTTCTATTTTCCTTGATAGCTCATTGTAGTTTACATAAAATTGCTAGAAACCAAATACTTAAATGTATCCAGGGATATAAAGACCAATTTTACATTGTACTTTAAAAAATATTTTTTCTTAAATTTCACAGCATTCTACTTTATTCTGTAGTAAACCCTATATTATTCATATTATTCTTTGATTTACTTTATGATGAAGAGTTAGTCCTCCTGTGCCTAAACATCTGAGTTTTTCTTTATCAGTTTCAGATATTTAATTATTGTCACTATGCTTGCTTTAATAATATTTAGGATATTTTAAATTAAAGTTATTTTAAAATATGCCTTAACATTAAGAGTATGTTTGTCTTAATTTTAAAATTAAATGGAGAGTAATTGGTACTAAAATTCTTTAATTGCAATAATATAAAAATGATAGTATATATTTTATAATATTTTCTTGAAGTGTAGCCCAAATATTATCAAACTATTCTTCTGTCTTTTTAATAGATCAGTTATAATAGAGAAATTTTTGCTATCAATAGATGCTAATATATTTTCATAAATAATAAGATGTCACTTATGAAATTATTTTATAAGATAAAACATTACTGTTTAAGTATTTCATAGCTATATTAAATATAATTGAACCATTGACTAAAATATACAGTGTTTTTATAATAAAATTTATGAAACTGTCACAGGGACAAGTCCTGTTGAAGTATTTCAACTACCCATATATTTGCTAGTTTTAATTCTACTAAAAGTGAAATGTGATAATATGTGTCTAATTTTGCTGCCCACCTTTTCACTCCATGAAGGACACAAAAGAAAAATTTCTATTCTGAATATATTCTAAACTCCAAATAGATCGAATTAGTAATGTGAAAGCAATAGACTTATGAGTAAATGTGCTTACTTGGTCTTGGAAGTTGATAATTATAAAGAAGGTCTAAACTTTAGAAAAGATATTTTCAAAATATATGAGAGGAAGCTCTAAAAATGAAGTTTTTGACTATACAATTGCAAGTACTTTCAGGTAGGTTCAATATTTTCAATAAGATAGAAAAAGATTTGCTCTCTGAGCAACTTCCAAATATGCAATACAGTATTATTAACTACTAGAGTCCCGGTGTACGAATTCGTGCACCAGTGGCGTCCCTCAGCCTGGCCTGCGGGATTGAGCTGAAACAGACTCTCCAACAAGCCCCCAAGGGATCCTGGATTGTGAGAGGGCGCAGGCCAGGCCAAGGGACCCCACTGGTGCACGATTGGGGCAAGGGAGGGATGTGGGAGGTTGCCAGCCAGGGAGGGACCATGGAGGGCTCCAGGGTCTGATTGGCCGGACCCCAGCAGCAAGCTAACCTACCAGTCGGCACATCTGCCCCCGGTGGTCAGTGCACATCATAGTGACTGGTCAACCGGTCGACTATCTGCCCCCTGATGGTCATTGCACATCGTAGCGACTGGTTGACCTGTCAACTTCCTGCTCCCTGGTGGTCAGTGCACATCATAGCAAGCGGTTGAGCAGCCTTAGCCTATCATTTGCATTTTATGCTTTGATTAGTTGAACAGACAACCGGAAGACCGGACACTTAGCATACTAGGTTTTTATTATATAGGATAGTCACTGTGTTATATGTTAATCCCCATGGCCTATTTTTTAAACAGGAAATTTGTACCTTTGACCCATTCACACATTTGCCCCGTCTCCACGTCCCCTCACCTCTGGCAATCACCAATCTGTTTTTTCTATCTATGAGCTTGTGGAGATTTTTTTTGTTTTGTTTTAGTTTTTGTTTTTTTGGCTCACATATAAGTGAGATCATAAAATATTTTGTCTTCCTCTTTCTAACTTATTTCATTTAGCATAATGCCCTTGAGGTCCATCCATGTAGTTGCAGATGGCAAAATTTCATTCTTTTTAGTGATATTTCATTTTCTTATCCTATGCATTCATCAACGGATACTTAGGTTGTTACCATATATCACTACTATTTAAAGACCTACCATCATTTATATATAAGCAAATATTTTGTCAGAGATTAAATGCATACCTATAATTTCATCTATCACTTTAGAACTATAGAAACTAGATTTTCCAGAAACACTAGTTTGATGAACTTTGAAAAGCTTACTGATTGTCATTCAAAAACTTTCTACCCAATGAAGACAAATAATATAATGTTCAAAATAGAAAACACTTCTAATAAACCAATTCAGTACTCAGTGTTTTCTGAAAATATTACTGTAAGTCTTAGCTTTCTTAGTGACTGTAGACATTGTGACATCATGTCTTTTACCAAAGGAATGGAAAAGCAGATACTGGTTGTGTATCTACATCAGCGATTTTCAACCAATGTGCCGCAAGAATTTTTTTAAAAAATATATTTTATTGATTTTTTTACAGAGAGGAAGGGAGAGGGATAGAGAGTTAGAAACATTGATGAGAGAGAAACATTGATCAGCTGCCTCCTGCACACCCCCTACTGGGGATGTGCCTGCAACCAAGGTACATGCCCTTGACCGTAATCGAACACGGGACCCCTCAGTCTGCAGGCCGACGCTCTATCCACTGAGCCAAACCGGTTAGGGCAAGAATTTTTAAAACATGCAATACCTGACTGTTTAGTTAGGGTCACTGACCTCTTTCCCCTTAGATTGTAAAATAATAAAATGACAACAGCTAACACAACAATAGCCATCGGGTGTGAATGAATCCAAATTATACCTATTTTTTTGTCAGATCCACAAAAATACATATTTTGGTGTGCCACAAAATATTAGTAATTAGTTTATGTGTGCCAATAGATGAAAAAGATTGAAAATCACTGGTCTGTATGATACCTAATTTTTTGAAAAGCCCAGATGTGTAACCTCTTCTCTGTTGCCCAACCGTGCCAAACTTTTGATGGGCTTATTTGTAATTTTTAAAGAATATGCAGAAATTCTTTTCATTTGAATCACCAAATTAATATCCATACTTATTGTTAACTTTGCATTTGCAATGTCTTTTACTTCTTGTCTTGCTGTGTTTTCTCCTCTGAATTTAGGCCATGCTATAGATAGATTAGTTTTATATAATTCACTTATTCCTGTAAAAAGAAAGTAGTTCTCTAGAGCTTTTTAAAAAGGTGATGGCATAGTTTTTAAGAGGTGCCACCTTGCAAGATAAGTAATGTGCAGTATTTTAAAATTAATGATTTGGAGGTACAAAATATATGTTTAATTACTATTCAAAAATATGTAAGGGAGATGTTAGAACTATACATAGGGGAAACCACTTTGAGTTGAGGGTCCCTATGATGTAACAATCACCAGACTTATTACCAGTATTTATTCTTCAAGAGAAATCCAATAATAATTATATCATATGCCTCTCAAATTACTGATTTTAAACAAAGTCTTGCATTATGTCTAATGTTTCTTGAAAAATAGCAAATTATCTCTTGAAAATTCTGTTTTTTATTTGTTTAACTGATGATTGCTGTATTAGTTTGAGGTGTTTTAATATCAAGATTTTCTTATGTTTCTATCTCAAAACTATTGAGCATAGTAGCAGGTGTTTATTAATCTTCTGGGTTTTTTAAATGGACAGTCATTTAATGTGTACTACAAATAGTAGATAAAACTTCGTTTATATAAATTTGTGATGTGACTTTGTTTTTGGTTTTATTTTTTAGCAGGTCTGTGTGATATTAATGAAGGGACCGTAGTCCCAGAGGATCGCTGCAAATCTCCAACTTCTGGTAATTTGAGTTTTATTTCATTAACAATTATAATTCTACAAAAATCAACATAGCATGTCAGTATTCCATTTTATAGGTACGGATTTAAAATACAACTGTAAGAAGCTTTGGTGTCGAATATTTATTCTTAAAAATCATTTCAGTATTTTTTGCTTTTTCATTAAGTGAAAAGAAATGCCCTAGATAAAAATCTACAGCTATTACCTAGTAAGAGTCATATAGCTATTTACTTAGGTTTGTACTAGTTATACATTTTTTAGAGATAATAGATTTTACTTTTTACCAGTGGATCAGATGGTTTAGTTATCTAACCTTGTCTTTGCTTTAGGCATGCCTGTCATCATTTGGTAGAAGAATACTCTAATCCTCCAGTAATGTCCATTTAAATATGAAAGATTTTTAACATTTGTACTCTACTGGTGACTGTCGACAATTAGAATAATTGAAGACTATTTATATTTATTCTTATTTTTTATAAAAGTAATATTTAATATAATTTTATAGCTATATTAAAGCAGTTGTCCTTTTTATTTATATATAGGTCTTTATGTAACCTATTTATATATTGGTATTTTAGAGGAACTTTTAGTAGCTTTTCAGTCTTCATAAGATTAAGAGGATCCTGAATTTATTATGTTTTCAGTGGATTGAAACTTCGCTAATCTTTAATAAAGTTGACTTCATAATTTTAGCTACCATATTTATTAAATCATTCTGGTTGGAAATGTTCATCAACTTTCTACTAGAAAGATTGTTCTTAACATAAGGTAAATTGTTCTTAGATTCTGATCCTTAGCTGGTTCTACTACATCAGAATTCTAAGAATGGGAAATATTGAGAAGTATATTTTACTTTACTCTCTAATACTTCAGTTTAGCATTTTATTAGTTACAAGACTTAAAAAGGTTTTCTTTTTAATTACATTTTCCTGATATTGCACAAGTGAACCATTCCTTAAAATATATCTAACTTCTGGTTTTCTTGAATCTTTAAATTTTATATTTAAATTCACTTATCAAACTAATGAAATATATTGAGCCATAGAAATCATTCACATAATTAGCACCTAATATTAAGTCTGAGCATTGGTAGAATAAAATTTGAGTGAATGATATGGAGTAGAGTAACTGTATTTTCCACCTTACAGGACTAGAGTTATTTCAGAATAAAATTCTGTAAACCTACCCCTTTGACACTATATTGTTAATAGCTTGTATCTTCCACTGCTTGTCTGTTTTTAAATAGTTAATAGCAGTCTTTGCTACCTATCATAGGCCAGTTGTCTTACTATTTGTAACGTTTGCCTTCATTCCTATTAGCATTCTAATAAGGAAATAAAGGGATAATTTATATGAACACAATCCTGCTACTTTAGGATGGTCAGAAAAGAAAAATGGCTGAAGTGAGTTTGAGGTGAATGTGAAGAAACACAAGAGGATCATGTTATTAAAACCCTGGAAAGTAGTAATTAAATTACTAGCTTCAAATACTTTCTGTAGTGCAGTAGAAAATAAATTAAGACAAATAAATAGTTAAATGATACAGTATAGATTATTAAATCCAATATAGTTAATAGAAAACTCTTTGTATCAATGAGAGAAGAGGAAATGTGTAACAGTGGGTTGGAAGTTAAAATGAGTTCCTTAAATACTAAAAAGGACCAATATTATAGAAATGAACTAGAGGCCCGGTGTGTGCCCTCTCACAGTCTGGGACCCCTTGGGAGATAACCACCTGCTGGCTTAGGCCCGCTCCCTGGGTGGCAGATGGCAGGCCCGATCCCTCGGTGCCTGCCCCACCTCCCCGGGTCACGCACACGGCAGGGCTGATCCAGGGGATGGGGCACCGCCCCAGGTCGGGTCACACATGGGACGCCTGGGCGGGCCGGCGGATCGCTGCTGCCCAGCACGGCCACCCCGGGTCAGGTCGCACACGGGATGCCCGGATGGAGGCCAGGCAGGCTGGCCGATCGCTGCTGCACCGCCCGGCTGCCCCGGGTTGGGTCGCACACGGACGCCTGCCACCCCAGGTCGCAGATAGCAGGCCCGGATGGCAGCAGGGCAGGCGGGATGGCGTTGTCCCGCTCCACCGCCCTGGGTCACAAATAGCAGGCCCAGATGGCAGCGGGGCTGGCGGGATGGCGCTGTCCCGCCCTGCCTGCAGTATGCAAATTAGCCGCCATCTTTGTTGGCAGTTAATTTGCATATCACGCTGATTAGCCGATGAGAGGTGTAGCGAAGGTACGGTCAATTACCATGTTTGTCTATTATTAGATAGGATATGCCCTTTTTCAAAACCAGTGTATTTACTCAAAAGAATACATATAAATGAAGAGGAACTTTTTTGAAAAGGTTTTAAATCTCTTGGTCAAGTTTTGTGATCTCAACAGTTTAGTCAGTGTCAAAGTTATATTAAAAATAGTTTGCCTTTCCCCATTTATTTTTAAATAATCAGTCTCTCTGAGATATAAAATTAATTCTGCCTGCCTGAATTAACATTGAAAATTATTACTTCCATCTCTTTAATCTTTATTTTTAAAAACTCACATTGCTTCACTGAACACTTTAGTAGGGTTAGAATTTTTATTTTAGCACTGCATTCAGAATTTGTGTGTGTATTTATGATAAAATGATTAAAAAAAAACCACATTTGTCAGATTACTTCAAATTGCAAAAGCCACACATACCATGATATAAATGGTGCCTTCATGAATTGCCATGTACCCTAGAAAAAAAACAAAAAGCTGTGTATATTTTCTATGTTTATTTAATCATAGTAATTTGGTAAATGTATTCAAGTAGGACTCGCTCAAAACAATTTTGGAACTTTTTCATGAGATAGCACAGAAGTATGATAAGCAGTGGTGGGCATTTTTAGTTAGGGGAAAAATCTATAAATCTGCCTTTTAAATTTACAGTTATGGAAATACTAGACATAGTTTTATAATTATGTTTAGATATATTATCTTGTTACTTCTCTACTTTCCAATATATAAAAAAACAAGTATTAATAACTTTTGTACATTCATGTGGCTGTAGTTAGTATCAGAAATGACAGTGATATTATAAAATATATAGCATCGTATCATAACCATATTTTTCTTTACATCTGAATTATATTTATATGAAAAATAAGTGTGTTATTTCTATTCCTGAAAATGTTACTGAGCTCAATGTTACTTATGTGATTTTTTTATATAGGATTTATGAGGACCTATAAATGCTGTTTAGCAAAAGTATGTGGTTTTTAAAGAGTAATCTTTTAAGACTCTTAAAAGTGATTGGATCCTGCCATTGTTGGCAGGTTTTACTTGGTCTGTGAAAAGCCACCTCACAAGTTTTTGTCACAAGGGAAATTTTGACCTTATTTATTAAGGTTCAGTACTTTCACTGGGATAAAAAAGGAAATAAAAACAGAAAAATGTTTTTATTTATTGCCAGTTCTATTTGAGATCTTTGCTTCTAATAGAAAAGCTTTATTCTTTCAGCAAATGTTTACTGAATGGTTTCTAGAGGTAAAGATTGCACTGAGTGCAAAGGGGATGCAAAGATAAATCAGTTGGGGGACCAGTTTTTTAGAAATTCAGTCCAGGGGGAAGGTCATATGTGTGTAAACTTAAAATATAAAGTATTAATTGATTAACATTAGATAAAGTGTTATGGGAATTCAGAGGAATAGGAGTGATTTATTTACAGCTGAGGGGATTGAAAAATTTAATGGATGAGATCATTTTAACTGTTTTATAAAGAATTGTTTAATTCTAATGAGTCAACTAGAATACTACTTAGGAATGCATTTATAATAAAAGATATGTGTTCAAAATTAAAGAAATACTATGAAAAATTAGAAACACCTTTTTAAAGAAAATGACAAAATCATAATTATAAAAATTATTAGACCTGACCAGATGGCTCAGTTGGTTGAACAATCATCCTATACACCAAAAGGTTGCAGGTTTGATTCCCAGTCAGGGCACATACCTGGGTTGCAGGTTCAATCCCCAGTCAGAGCTCAGACAGGAGGCATGGATGTTTCTCTTTCTTTCTCTCTCTCCTTCCTCTCTCTCTTAAAAAAAAAAAAAATATATATATATATATTAAAAGTCACAGATGAAATAAAATTTTATATTTCTTAACCTTATAAATTTAAATAAATATTTGAACATAGCTAAACTTATAAGTACTACCCTCAGTATTTTAAAGGCCTTTATGGTAATAATTGAATTTGTATATTCTTTTGAAGTTTGTATCTAGAAAGCGAACTCTCAATTTTACCAGTATAGTACTTGTACAGGATTCTGAGTTCTACTAGATAAACTTTATTCAGTTAACTAATATCAAGAACTTTACATTTTCTTTCAGAAACAGTTAACCTCTACTTTATATTTTTCTTTTTCTGTTCTCTAACATACAGTAGTTACCAAAATTTTTCCCAATTGATGTAACTTATAAAAATATTATAAATTAGAGTTGTTATTTATATATACTAGGGATTGGTCTACCATGAAAGATAATGCAATATTGATTTCCATTCTTACTGTAATATTATAAGAATTCTTGTTAACTATATACATGATATTTCTTTGTGGCCAATCATATAGAAACTTGTTTTAGAGGTTACCAGACTATTTTGTTTGTATTTTTCCCTGTGACAACTCAGTGTTTGTGACTGACTGTTTGCCTGTTCCTTCTATTGTCTTCATTGTGTAGGTTCTTCATCACCACACAATTCAGATGATGAACAAAAAATGAATAATTTTATAGAAAAGGGTATAGTATCTTTATTTTAAAGTATTTATTTTAATTATGTTTAATTTATTTAGTTTATGTTGACTAGATTTTGACATTTTATATCAAAATATTATTTTTCAGTGAGACCAAAAGCAAGAAAGTTTCCAGGATGGTAGCCAGTGATATAGGTAGCAATAAGAATTTCTGTTTT